TAACTTTTTAGGCATAGTCTTGTGAGCCTTGTATCTAAGAGTTGCACTTTAATGGGCTGACTAATGCGAAATCCGTTGAGGACGCTGATTCCTTAATTTGCATGGTCACTGTCTCCGAAGCGCGTTTGCTCTTCCACCAATGAAAAGCCCCCGTTTCTGAGCTCCAAATTATGTGGATTTTGTGAAGAGGTGGCTTCTGTCGTGGGGGAGTAACGATGGGCTTCTAGTTACCGATTGTGTTGATGATGATGACGGCAGCGGTAAACCTCAGGATCCTCATACCTACACACATGGTGTCGACGATTTTGTTTTAATGGATTCCATGGTAGCTTATGATGAGAGAACATAGTGCATCCTCGGTTTCCCAGGACACAAGTTCCACCCGCGGCGCTCGCGTAAATATTATCGCACTTTATTCAGTGCTGCAGACGGTTCCAGCCCCGGATAGTTCCTTCTGTCGACTTTGTGTTAAAGATCTAATGTTCCTTGACTGAGCCTTTGTTATGGTACAACTCTCAGGTCCCCGTTACTTCTCCGCTTTCGGAATTTCCTCGCCGTCAGGAGATAATAGCGCTGGAGAAGTTCGGTGCAGGTTTAGGTTGCCCGTATTCGCGTTACGGACAGCATGAGACATCGCCTTTCGCCAAAGGGTGTTCGGAGAGTGCATCGTTGTATGCTTGTCCTGCCTTCTAAATGCCTCTGTCTAGGAAAGCACAGAATATGCGATCGAACAAAGTCGTAAACTCGCTTTTCTAGTGGAATAAGACCATTGAAAAATTGAAAAATGCTTCCGACCGTCTCTCTATTAATTCGAATCTTTAGCCTTTGAGATTGTCCACACATCACTTCTTCCTCCTCACCTTCCCCTTCTTATTCTTCCTCCTCTTTTTTTCTTCTTCTCCCCTCCTCTCTCCTTCTTTTGTCCCATGCCACGCCTCATCACTATGGGTGTCTCCGCTGCGGTTATATTTATCCCCGTTTATGCATCGCGTTGCTTGCCGTAATTTCCTCCATCCTCCTACCTGCTACTTTTTAGTCCTATGGACTCCAGTGGGGTCTTTGATGGCTCCATGAATATGAAAATGCACTCCATGAGACCCAACTCCTTCACCTCCACCTCCTCTGACTCCGACGGGCTTGAGGACGCTCCCCTGCCCCTCGGTGACCGTGACTTCTTCTCAAACTACCATCCCCGCCAGCGAAGGAAGGGTTTTGATTGGTCCATGAGAGAGTACGTATACATCCATTTTGATTGTTTCATTCACAAAGCTGATTTTACCCTATACACCCCCTTCTGTACTGCGCCTTGCTGGGGTCAACGCAGTGGTTTTCAGAATCTCTCATGTTTGCATATCTGCGCGTGGGTACGGACTGTTTGGGTGAAAGTAGTCATTTTTTGGTGTAGCGGTTGTTCAGCCAAGTGCTTACCCGCGTTAGGTAATCATTTCAGTCTGACTCCAGCCCCTCGTCGGGGAACTCCGCGAAGGTTTGGCGGTCACAGCCCGCTCACCGCCTTGGAGTTACAGTTGAAAGCACATGGGGGTAACCGGCGTCTGTCCTCACGTCGTTGAACTTGTCTGTGGATCCTGGTTTCCCTGTGCAGGGGCGACCGGTCGTGGCGCTGCTCGCGTAGACTGGTGCTGTGTGCCAAATCGCTCACTGTGTCCAAACTGTTACTCCGACTTGTGTTTGACGTTTAATCGTGATGAGACTGGTAGAAGGCAGAGCTGGCTTTTATCTTGGTATGATAATAATTTCTAAGAAAACAGGGTGCATAGAAGCGAAAAGACGAGTCCCAGAAAGTAGAAGGAGACGTGATCGCTGGGACAAGAGCTTTATTTGTAGGACGTTTTGGCCT